GGACCCCTTATCTGGAGGCTTGTTTGTAATGTTCAGATTAAATTCTGAAAGATGAAGTGCAGCATCGATCACACCGCATTTTACTGATTATCTCAGAAAATGCTATTTGCATTTCTGAATACTGAATTGACAAAATGTAGGTCAGCTTTGTTTTTTTAAAGGCATGTTAAACTCCTGAATACTTTAGTTAAATAACTGCATTGAAACAAATACAGATTCGAGATGATATGCACTATGAAGAAATGATACTGCTGCAGCTTACAGACACAGACTGAATATTAGATATTCATGCAAGTTATCATTCACGTTGCTGCCAGTACACTTCAGCTTGTTAACTGCTACCCTAAATCAAATCTTGGGTTACTACAGGTTACTACAGTCTCCCTGGAACATAAAACCTACTGTATGGTTACTCTGGTTTCATATAACAACTGTGTCATTAGTTAATGATTTAAAATTTTACCCTCTGCGAGCAATTCACATTCCAATGTAGTGCTGGAGTGGTTTCCACAGCCATTTTTTTTTTTTTAACGCTACTTGAAAGTTAAAATTCTGAAGTTGGTATTATAAAAATTTGTTGAGACAATGTCTCAGGAACATTAACATATCTTCAAATGTCTGAGTACTCTGAATCCTGATGACATAATAGCAAAAAAGAATATTCTAAATATTTTCATATATTTCAAAGTGTTTTTTAATGAAGACACAATTAAAGACACTTATTTTGGCTTTTAACTTGAGATCTTAAGAACTTGTTACTTTAAATGATAATGAATACTCGTCTCATTGCTGTTTTTTCCAGTATTATTTCAAAGAAAGAAAGGCAAAAAAGTTTGCCTGTTTTGAGAAAACACCCTTGGGGAATTACACTCTTCATTAAAAAAAAATATAATGGTTTAGGTTCCACTGTGAATTTTTTTCAAATAATTTATTGCAGAAGAAAATACACTTCTATAGGGACACTAAAACATTCAGTTACTCCAAAAAGCTGCATATAGATGCTCAGCTGACAGACCAATTTTATAGAAGTCAGGAAAGATGCATCTGAAGAGAGAAAACACACCACCACAACCCAAAGGATATGGTACCTGAAGAAGTACGCTACTGCTTAACTTGGCACATGGGAACAGCCGAGACTTTGCATCAGTTATGAGGATCAAATTAAAGCACGCAGGTAAAAAAGGGAAATTCACTTCTTTGGACTGAATGCCTATTACCCATCCATGATCCCACACTCTACGTTACGCTCAGTGCAAAGACTCATCAGCATTGCACTGTTTTCTATAGATTTAACTGCATAGATTATACCTTAGAGGTCACTGTTCAACTCATTAATAAGAATAAATACTTTAATTATAAAATAAACAGTTGATTTTATCTGTAGAACTCATTAGACCGAGATTCAGATTTTCAGTTTTTCTTGATAGTTTTTCTTTACATTTTTTTCTTAGTCGCTCACATTTGTCGCCGGTATGACAAACCCCTTTTCACACACTTAAGTGTCCATTTTAATTTCAAGTTACAAGTCTCGGTAATGCTTCCATTTCCAGAAGTGCCAAATGACCACAACATAAAATATTTCCGTGAAGAACTACTATTTTCGTTACTTAAAAAACTAGCAGGGAATGAAATTCTCCATGAATTTAGTGCTCAGAGTATTTTTAATCACCTACGTATCGCTTCCAATTGAGAGAACGTAAGTTTCTATTTCCCAGAACTAATTTAACGACACAGATAGGGACCAAAATCCTCCAGGAGCACGAACACCACAGGCATTTCAGAGCAAACATTACAAGAATAATAAAATATGATTGTAGCAACTTTCCGTGCTCCGCTTTCATTTTGACAGACAACTAAATACAGTGCACCACCATGTGGCAACATATTAGGGAATGGTTCTTGTACCAAGATCTGGTTTTTTCCACCTTCAAAATTTTTTACTATTTGTTAAAAATAAATGTTAACAGTTCCATTTTAGTATTAACAAGCTCCTCTTTAACAAGTTGTCATAGCTTCACTTATCTCAGAAGCTAATTTTTAATACATCTGGATTACCAAGGAAATATTCGGGCATTTTTATTTGTAAAGCACAATATTTACCTAAACACATAACTGCCCCACGACCAGAGAACAGCTCTGTTTCTTGCCAATCGTGCTCTCTTGCACAAGAGAAATTGGGCATAAGCATATACTGCACATCAAGCTCCTTCTAAATAAATGCATTTAAAAAAAAAAATAAATCAAGCTAAATGCTGGACTCACGGCTGATTAAAAGCTTCAAAAAAATCTTGGAAAAAAATCAAACACTTGAAGGTATACACATGAATCATTTAGCAGTTGCTCAGCTACTGTAAAACTGCTTCTCTCCAGCTTAACAACAAGAAAAAAAAAATATTTTTTTCCATGAGAAATACCAACAAAAGGTCCCAAAAACCCTAAGCAAACCCCGACTCCCGAAGCCACTACATGCCACCCAGTACACTGGAACATATTTCTGCAGCCAAATGCTAAACTCGGAGGAAAAAGCAGGTTTTCATTAAACTGGGCAGCCTTTGCTCACACAGTACAGTGCTGTTGTAATTCACTGTGTTACAGGATTTCAGAAGATAGGCTTAGGTAATTCTTGTATTGGTTAAATAAAGAGTTAATTCATTACGCCTTAACATATTTGTTAGCCATTTTGTACCAATACATTCAGTTCAATCTGAATTAGCAGTGAAGACTCACTTTAAACATCAGTCTCCCACTAAAAACCCTGTCTGTATTCACCACCTCAGCTTTGGGTCTCTCGTAGCTCACTGGACCTAAAGGTTTTGCTAAAACTGTTAAGAAACGTAACAGAAAACTGGGTGACGTGATACGCAACCACGCAAGGAAGGTAGGTAGCGCAACGGGTTTTCACAAGCTCCGTACCTCAAGCAGTGGGAAAACCTGTAGAGGACAAGGTAAGAGCAAGCAACGCTCTCCTTCCAGGACGGACAGACCTGCAATTCTCTTTCTGCAAAAGTTGCTCTGGTGTGATTTGAAAGTCTCACCACAGAGCACATAATCAACCCAAAGCATGCACTTTAACCACACTTAAAAAAAAAAAAAAATACAGAAAAAAACACATTAATCCACCTCCTGTATTAAGATCACGCTGAAGTTTCCTCATCTCAAACTCCAGCTACCCTCCCTCCACTCTCCCCCAGCCCACCCTTGCTAACCCCCAGCCTGAGAAGCCCCTGCTATGTAATTAAGACCATTGTGATTTTCTGCCAAAGACAAACCAACAGCAGGAACACAATGCATATTATGCAAGTTACTGCATAGTTATGCAAGTTGTATGCATATTTTCGCTACGCAGCGTAGCTCACTGTACCGAGGACTCTGAAGACACTTGTTTGATGTGGATGCTTACTCTTATTTTGAGCTGTCAAATTTTCCTCTACTTGCCTCAACTGGCTTTTTTACACTAAAATTTCAACCAACTGCTAACAATATTAATGCAGCTCTACCAGTACGTACAATAATATAGGGCGTTAAGACCACAACAACATCTGAGCACAGTATCACTTAAGTCTACTCCAAACCACGTCTTAGGAGACATCGTAGGCAAAGCACTAGCACCTTATTTACTGTAGATAACCCAGGCTCAACACCGCCAAAACGGGGGAAAACATCAGAAATCTCTTGAGACAAACAAGGCCTCACGGTGGAAGTATCACTTCACAAGCAATTTGAATTAGAGTTATGTGAGCACTCCCATACTGAACAGAAAAAATAACCTTTCGTTCAAACACCCCCCCAACCTGATGGCTTTTTTTTTTTTTTTTTTTTTTTTTAAATCTACCTCCATGCTGCTTCTGCAGTCGGCATTGGTGAGACGAGAAGACAGGGATTTCACATACAGCCTTTCACTCGAAAGTAACAGGGAGCAACTTCAACGATACGAGACCCCTCACTATTTACAAGATGAGCCACACAAAAATGGAAGCTTTCTGGATACTAAAAGCATCGGTTTTAAGGGGAGATGTATCAGTCTACCATTTCTAGAAGACCTCTCGGAGGTCTATTACCATACCTACTAGGGAACATCGCCACACACTCTGTTTCTAATTTCTGCCATTTCTCCCTTTTTTACCAGCACTGCCTGTAACAAATCATAAACTCGACATCCAAATAACTTCCAAAACCCATGAGCAATCACACGCGACTCCCCAGAACCTGAACCCCGCTGCCTACCCGTACCTTTCGCGTCGCCAGCTGCAAGGACACAACCACTCGCAGCCCAAGAGCCTTCCGAGCTTCCAAAAGGAAACAAGGTTAAGGTCAATCGTCAACGTCTACACTTCTGAGGAGAGGCAGCTCCTTTGGCCAGGCTGGATTCCTCTTATTTTGGAGTAAAACGCAACCTCAGTATGATGGCTTATGCAAGCAACAGCTATTTATCTAGAGTAAATAGAGCCCGCTTTTAAAAGTAGCCCATGTTTCTTTCGGAGACGCACAAGTATCTTCCAACAACAAACCTGAAAGCTAAACAGATTCTTAAATTTGAGGGAGGAGGAAATAGAGAGAAGTAGAGAGAAATCGGGAATCCCCCCTTTTTTTTTTTCCTCTCCATCCAGCACAGGTATCCTTTCCCTGAAGCAGGGCACTAACTGCGAAGTCACAACCTTACAAAGTTACCTCGCCGACCCTCAAGGAACAAGAGTGTTTTATTTAAATAACTGCTGATTAAACTCAGTATTTAAACAGTGTAACAAGTTCCCAGCTGTATCCAGCAAGCAGTTTCAGAGACCTTCATGCAAATATCTTCATCCCAAAAAAAAAAAAAAAAAAAAACAAACCCAACAAGCCCTCCTCTATTCCCAGCCACCTAGAGAGAGAGGATTATACGGCGACTGAAGAATGCAAGTTGTTACTACGTGCATTTTTAAGCAGCGATTTCCAGAAAAAAGAAAAGAAAAAGAAAAAAAAAAAAAAAGGAAGAACATGGAGAGAGGGAGAAGGCAGCTCACCTTTATCCTGAGTGCAGGACAGGATCTCCTCCTCTTTGGGGTTAGTCACCTGGGTGATAATGGACGGGTTGTCCATGGAAACAGAGTGAGATTTCACCTGGCTATTTCCCTCCCGGAGGCAGGCTTGTGTGCGGGGGGGATTTGTTTGTTTGTTTAAAAATCAATATGCAGATTTGTATTTTTTTTTAAAAAAAAAGGAAAAAAACAACAACAA